ACCATGAATGCAAGATAGAAATGCATAGAAGGTAAAACACCAACTGCAAAGAAACCGATACGGAACTGCTGTATGATATACGATGGAACTTCTTGTTCCTGTTGAATCAGGATATTCTTAGTGAAGTGTTCTCAGCTATTCTGGATGCTAAAGTCCAAACATTTTAAAAATGCTAAGAGGATCCTGCAATAAACAAGTGTTAAGTCTAGATGGCCTCTAAGATCGTCTCTATGATTCTGAGGAGGAACAACCGCATAGAAGGAGAAGCGAAGAGAAAAAGGCAAAAAAGGAAATAAAAGAAGAAACCAGCAAATGCCATACAGGCAAATACTGCAAAAAATCTCAGTTAAGTGATTTGTGTAATGCTTGTTTCAGGAAGGAAGGGTTACTGCTTCCTCTTTAAGGAACGTGGGTGAAAAATACTGAACTTTCTGTAAATCTGCAAAAGAAAAGATTTCTTGGCAAAGCCCATCCTCTCAAAACAAGGTTAATTAATCTTCAACCCCAATTATGAATCAGAAACTCAAAATAACTGTAAAGATAGTGCCAGCTGTGAGTAAATATTAAAATAGGGAAGGAGACCAAAGAAAAAAAGCTTCCGTGCGTACCAAAAAAATATATTAATTTCCAACAGAAGCCGTTTGTTTTTCTCGTTCACCCGCACAAAAAAGCCACTGTGAAAAGGATGTTACCTGTTCCAAATCCTTTATATCTGAGTCTTTAACGAGCGCAATGGGAATGGTGAGATTGTCGGTCTTGTTTCCTCCAGGAGCACCCTATAGACAAATAGAAATAACTTTGTGTCTAGTTGCCTGAGCCAAGACTGGATTAAATCACAGACATTTCTCAAGAAAGAGGCTCTCAATTCCTCCCATCTGTCTTTCAACACAAACAATCCCCATTCCACGCTATTATGTAGATGTCAAACTCAAGGCCCGGGGGCCAGACGTGACCCATGGGGTGCTTAGATCTGGCCGACGGGGCTGCCCTGGAAAGCGAAGGACCAGCCTGCGATGTCTCTGCCAGCAAAAACGGAGCTCGGGAGGGCCGCACGCGGCTCTCCCGAGCTCTGTTTTTGTGGGCAGAGGGTTGCAGGAGGCCGCCGCAGCCGAAAACAGAGCTCGGGAGCCTGTTTTTTT